TTGTTCGCTCCACCGATGGCAGACCGCAAGCAGACAAGCCAAGTGTGTATCTCCCCCGCCACTCTCCCTTTCGTACCGCCGTACGTACAACGTGCCGTGTCCCGAGGTGCCGGTGGCACGCTTACCTCGACGCTTACGGCCAAGATATTCGCACTTGTTGCTCTGCTCGCCCTCCTCCTCCCTGGGGCTCCGTCGCGTCCGCAGAGGGTTTACGAGGCAACTTTTACACCCCCCCCTGCCCTCCCCGTCCTTATACTATCGCTCAGTGCTGCTAACCGGTGGTGATACAATGATCCCTCCCTTGCCCCCACACCCTTTTTTGTGCCCTACGATGTCGAGTTTACATGGGAGCTTTCGTTCGTGATTTATTTGGTGAAAGCTACACATCATTCATCGAGTTTTCAACAACTCATTTTCGTGGGACACCACTTTTTCCTAGTTCTTTGTTTTCAAAGGCCTGCACGCGCCGATCATAACGAAAACAAAGTTACATATGGATTACGTCGCACGTTAAACGATCATTGTCGAGCTAATGGCTAATTGTTTCGAAGATGCGCTCCAACGTAGTTTCGGAAGTCGTTGAACCGAAAAATCCTAGTCGACGAAATTTTTTTACTTATGAATGGAATGACACTTTGAAGTATAACAAGCGCTTCTCCATAGCGTCAATTAATTTTCGATCGTCTAGTTTCACGAATAAGATAACGTCGACCGGTTAACTGTACGCTTGAAAAATTTTAGTTCACGCTGCGCTGTAACAATAAATACCCGTCGCAGAATAAAATCATCATTCCTACGGTATATTTGGCATCAAAATGTTAATTAGAGCGTACGTTTTTTTTCTCCCTGCCTCGAATTCCTATTGTTTTTGCTGGGTTGAAAGTCCTCGTTTATTTTACTCTTCCCCCAAAACCCATCTTTGCTCATTATACAAGGTCCGCACGCGATATCATTGTTCACGGCGTCAGGTACACGCAAGAATCATAACCCAAGAGGGAAAAAAGACTCGACGCTTTACACGTTGAACACACTTGTTACGTGTCGTTAGCCCCTGCCCAATCGTGTTTTTATCACGCAATAACTCTCAAAGCTCCATTCCCAAGTCGCCTCTCTCGACTCTCTGTTCTCCGGATGATTCGTAATGTAAAAGTGAGCTCACAATACTCAATGTGCACCAAAAGCGAAAAAAGATGCATCCAACCGAATGCGTGTTACGTAATATTATTCGTGCATCCGATGCGCTGTAATGTTACATAAATCGCATTGTACGGTACAATGGAGTCGGTATGAATCACGAGAACCTCTCCGCTGCAGCGCAAGTGAGTATCGTGTGACAGCGATTTTGACTATTAAAAATCCTCCTCTCATCTTCTTCCTCTTGTTCTTCTGACTTGAACCACGTGGACGGCGATTCGTGTTTTGTCAGAAAACTCACTCGATGCAAGTCCCGTGAAAACGTCTCAAGTTCCGCATGTAATTGAAAACCCCAAAGTTGAACGCGTAATAACAGCCGTCGTCTCGAGTTGAAACGCCGTGGAGGAAATTGCGAGCTCGGAACCGAAAGTTGCTTATTAAAATAAATGGTAAGCTAATTTATGGCAGAAATTTCAATCTGAAGTTGAGCTTTTTCTCCTTTTTTTCACAAAGAGAGCGGGAAGAAGTACACGGGCGAAACTTTGAAAAGAGAAAAGACCCCGTAAGAGAGACAAAGGCGATTCTTGTGGCTGAAGGACATGATTTTGTAATTGCGCAAGAGAAAAAAAAAAGAAATAAATCTCAAAGACTCACTACCGTCCGCGAGAGCCTTTTTCTCATTATCTGCTTTTACCTAATTCCATTCAGCGATGAATCGACAAAACGGAGCATCAGCTAGAGAACTCTGCAACGAGGGAGGGGGAAGAAACGCCAAAGAACCAAGTGAAACGGGAGGACGAAGAAACAGGTTTTGTTTCAGCTGCAGCGAAACAAAACGGATAAACGTTTTTACGAGCTGCTCCAAAAGTTGCATAAACAGTGCAACGGACATGTAACTGTTTCTCTTTTCGATAAAATTTAAGTAAAGTCCAGGAGATTGTTGGGTCAAACTTGCAGTGCGAGAAAAATATGAAGTGGTTTATCCAGCTTGAGTTGTAAAAAAAGGACGAGTCGAATGAATCGAGCGAGGATTAGAAAATACAGAGTTACGACCGACTGCGAATGACACGTGTATCGTGTACAAAATGTGGAAGGAGACAAACGCAGTCCGCATGTCAGCGTCCAGGTGGTTGTCGTTATATGAAAACACGGGGAGAAAATACTAATTGACAATAAGTGTACCCTGTCGCCTCCTCCTAACCTAAAATTGAATGTATCTTGGGGGGGAGTGAGTCCCCAATGAATCGAAATGGGGTCCTTTGAGCGGCGGAAACGAATGTCAGCGTCGCCAATTATGGAAAGCACCAATCGACAAGACAATGTCGCCGCAGTCGGTCGTTGAACCTTGATCGGTAAAGATAACGCGCTCATTATACGTAATATTATACATGGGGTACACGAAAACACAAAGTGGATTGTGCTCACGATGACTGAGCAGTTTGCAAATGCACGTGGGCCGACAATTTTCCTAATACGATTCAAACGGACGAGTGAGTCACATTGAAAAGAAAAAACCCATCGTCCAGGAGAAATTTGTCGCTGTTTTTTTCCTCCCCCCCTCCCTCGAATAATAATAATAAAATTGTGTCTCGTAACATCGGGTGACGTGGCGGTATCGAGTGGGGTGCTCCAATTATCCTGATTACCTCTCTTTCCGTCTACACAACGCTACAGTGCGACCGTTAGTTTTCGGCTACCATTAAATTTATCGCCCCCCCCCCCCTCCTCGAGTCTGTACAAATCGCTAAATCACATCGTACGATTGGAGCGTCATATGTATTGATTTTCGGGACTTTATTCTATAACATGGGTTTCTTCATCTAATTAAATGCGCAGTGGATATAATATGCGCGCACACACGTTTACATCTTTACCACCATAATGTATATACTTACGAGCACGTTGTGTGTTTCCCCGACTGCGGCGATATTTAGGCATCGAAAAAGAGTAAAAAGACGCGCATTACCATGTATGAAAGCATAAAAGTGCACACACCCTCTCGGGGGAACAATGCACCTTAACGGAGCAAAAGAATAATAGGTTTGAAAAAGAAATATGGCGAATGTAAAACGCTTTTTTTTTTTTTTTTTTTTTTTTTTTTTTTTGTGGGTGGAAAAAACGTTGAAAAAAAAAAAAACCGAGACAAGTATGAAAGAGACGGGTGGATGGCAGAAAAAAAAAGGGAAGCAACGCGCGTACGTGTACATGCATCATACGCACACACGTGCATCAATCCTTGACGGGATGATTTACGCGGCAGCCATCAATTCCAGAATAACTCGGTAATAACTTGGCTCTCCCCCTCCTCCTCCCGTCCTCTCTCTTTCTTCTCCTCTATCATTCTGTCTTTCTTCCTGCAACCAGTCCAAATGCATGCATATACTGCACGTGAATATGTGTACACGTGTACACAGACGCGGGCTTTGAAAGAGGAGAGGAAGGGGGAAAAAAAAGAGGATAAAAAAGGCGAAATGGGAAAGGAGAGAAACTCCGTGGGTGCTTCCACGCACTCCCTCTCTCGCGCCCAGCATAAAAGACCGTCGTAGTATTGACGGCTGTGCCGTTGAACTCTGGACTTTTTGCGGCGCTCTACGCGTACACATAGAGAGACACTTTTGAGGCGAAACGACTTTTGTTTGTTACGAAGCCATTGCATTCGCCCATTGAAACGTAAATACTCCACACCGTAACCCATAGCTGTTAGTTTCATTTCGAGGTGGGTGCATGTATTCAATGCACGTGTATACATAACCCAACGAGACATTCCTTTCGGGTCATAGTTCCGATATCATGCTCCGGGATGAATAACGCGGATGATTTATGGTGCGAATTATCGGCGTTGTATAAATCAAGTTAATACACATCACAAACATGCGCAGGCCGCAATAAATTCAGGCTCAATAACTCACTGACCATTAATTTTTACGTTTTCCTCCTCTCGTCTCCGTTTCCGTTGTTTCCTCGAGCGAATTACACCGCATCACGCCGAAACCAGCTTCTCGGACTAACAATCAGCCATCACCGCGATCTCGATCCCGTATTAGCCGGGATTTCATTAAAAAACCTCGTCGAATCATTTTGCCACGGCCAGTGGCGATACTGCGAGTTTTAATCAAATTGTGGCGAGCTCGAAAGTTGCATGTGTATTTATTGATATTTTACTCCCATGCAGTTCTCCTATCGAGAAACCATGTAGCTGAGCACGTTTGTAATATTCTCTATCGCACAGGTGACCATCACGTAACTAATATTAATTTTGCCACTTGCGCGTAAGTACTCGGTTAATGTTAGAAATAATATACACACATTGGAGTGATTTACACCCGCTGCACTAATGGGGTGCTTGAAATTAATCCTCGTATCTTTTATGGGCGCAACAATTGATGGGTAATTGATATTTGCTTTTATACTCTTCTAACTAATTCACGCTTGCGATGACAAAACAGAGTGTCACCTGTTTACTTAACCATTTTGATTATTCTCAAGTGTTATCTTTTGTTTACTGTTGAAAATTTCATTGAAGTAAATAAATTTATTATTCTTTTATCCTATAATATAAAAGAATAGACGATGTTTTATCATTGCGTTTGTCAATATCAACGAACTCGTACGGTTTAATCAATGCATTCAACTGCTTTTACCCGAATTAGAGCTTTAACCGAAGTTGCATTTCATTCAATACAATCATAAAATCAGTAAAGTTGATTAATCTCGCTGAATTAGCTGCCAGACGTTGCACCAAATGCTATTTGGTTTGTCAAACATAACAACTTTCTACGTGACGTTATTATTCAATTATGTACTTTTCCAACCATTTTTTTATTTTCGCAAGATAATTAATCACTTTGTTTATTGTTTTGTTACAGGTGAGTTTCTGTCGCATCTCGTGTCAAGGATTCTTCCATTCGTAAGTCAAACACGTCCAATCATAAAGATCTATCAAAACTAAAATAAAATTATTTTTAAAATTCTTCTCTACTCTTAAAATTATTCTCAGCAAGTATAAACGGAAATGTTTTTAAATTAAGTACTAATTAGTTGTATGACTGAGAAATATTAAAATTTAATTTGGAAAAAGGAGTTTGTCGCTCTTTGTAAAATCGTCTGGAGGAACATCGTCATTTTGCGAGCAATGCACACGCCTGGGTCGTAGGGAGGGTGCATGAAAACTACCACGAGAGCAGTCCGTTGAACCGCATGCGTCGCGAGAGTCAAAACGTGCGTGAAAATGCGCGCTTGATCGTGTCAAAAATATGTTTAACTCTTTCACAAAGGTGTGCCACGTCAATGGACGATAAAGCGAGCTTTGCCGAGATAAAAGTACAACGAACCCGCGCGCCCATATACACCTAGCAACGTGCACTTGCACGCTAAGCTCGGAAATTGTCTCGCGGTGTAGGTATGCGAGAGTGCAAAAAAGGAAGAAGAAGAGGAAAGAGGAAGAAACACGGATGAATGACGGAAAAAAGTCGGATAATCGCGAAACGCACCCCTGGAAGTTCGTCTCTTCTGCTACGTACTGACGCTGGCGTTGCGATTTCTGTGTATGCAATTCGCATGCATGTTTCATGAAATCAATGAATGGTATAATTGTTCTTGTAAATTATTCGTACTGCAGAGCGTATGAATTTCACACTCGAACCCCAACTCCATTGTGCTCGTGACGCTTTTAATTGAACGGCGCTCTTTTAAATTCGGCAAAATCAGTCTGTCGGTGCAGCTGCTTCTATTTTTTTGTACCCTCAATCCCTTTTCACCGAAGTCACAAAATCGGCATTGGAATTTCTGGTAAAAGTAGTGAGAACTTGGTTGTATTCGCTATTAATTTTAACATTTTACGCGTGAAAAAAATATTTGTAACAACCGAGTTCGTAGTCTGATTTGGTCATTGAACAAAAGTACTGGTTAACCCTCGCGGGGTTGCAGTGGAAAATTGCACCGTCCAACTTTGTTGCATATCTACGTTCGGACAAAACTTTGCAGTACCAAACACAAAGCGATACCACGTTTGCAGATAATTTATCGAGTAATTTATGCTCCGCTTACAATATGCGCGCTACTATCCAACTCGGGATGCAAAACAACATCAACAACAGCGTATACGTATGGGTATTGAAAGGGTGATAACAATTCAATCTTGAAAACGACGACAACAACTCATCTCGCGGAGGAAGGGAGGAAAAAAGCACGTGATCGCAAGGAGAGCAAAGACCGAAACTCTCCGTCAGCTAACAGCAAAAATACGGAGGAAGGGGGGCATATTTGGAATAGCAACAACGCGAAAAGTCGCGAGTCCGAGTAGCATCGAAATTAAAAAAGTTTCCCTTTATTATGAACGCCCAAGCTGTTACTACTGCGCGCTCGCGATGCACTTTTTCACGATGCGATATTTCACCTCGCTCTGCTGTTTCTTTCATTTTTTCTTATGTTGAACAAGAACTTTTGTTCGAGCTAAATACCTCCGGTTAAACAAAAATAAATTCAAAACTTGCTCAACTATCGTTGTTCATCGTATAGCCCCGAGAAATCGCGACATAAAGACTCCTGCAGCAGTTTTCAATCATGAAACGTGGTATCGATTCGTCCCTCCACTACAACACCGACAACAACCCCCCGGCGCTCAATTCGATTATTTGTACTTGTATCGCTTCGTTTTTCACGGGTATTATTCCAAACAATCTGATTAGCCGTTCTGATATTCGACAGCCGTAACATCCACTCCGCGTATTTTCTTTGAAGATATGTAGGTGGTTGGTAGGAATGAAATTACGGTAGAGGTAATTTGTATATGGATTATACGTGTAACGATTTTTACAAAAGACTCACAATACGAGAGACTTGGAACAATAATATATCGTTAGAGGTGTGGTATAAATTTTTGTTTTTTCACGAAAAATTTTTTTCCGTGTAGAATCTGCGTCTGACTGATAAATTTTGTAGCGCGTATGACGTTTCGTTGCCATTAGAAGAAGAATAGGAAGAAGAAACGAGTCGTCGAGGTCGTATGGTAAACGCAATTCGTAGACTCGTCGATCAATACGCAAACGGAAGGCCGAGGCTAAACCGCTAAACTCGAGTTTGGCCTTTGGAAAACAACATCTAGACAACTCATCGTCTCAACAATACTATTGTTATACATTACGAGATTTAAGTCTGTAATTTCGGTATATTCACGGTAAAGAGGCCGTCGTTCGCTGCTGCAAAATGCAATTGTACACTCGAACAATCACTCAGTGCATACAATTTCCGCGGGTGATGCCGTTCTGGCAGTGGAAAATTACGCACAACGTCGCGCTTTTGCCCCGAGAATGACAACTTATATACCTTCGATTATGCAAAGCTATAAACGTGGTAATCAATAGTCCTTTGAGGGACGTATTGCTACACACGGCGTTGCACAGTTTCAAATATCTTGTTGATGCGAGCAAGTACACAAAAATACTTCCGTTCGAGGGGACGCCGTGTAAAAAACAACTCACGAAAAGTTGTGAATATTTGTTTAGCCCAAGGAAACAGTGGTTGCGCGCATGATAATGCACATAGCTCGAGTTTCTTGTTACACGAATAATTGAATTACAAACTTGGGTTGCCAGTGGAAGCCAGCGGGGGCGTCCAACAGCTCGAAACTCATCAAACTCCAAGATGTATTGTGCACGCGGGGGCGGCGGTGGGGCCAGGGGGTGGCCGTTCAATTTTCGTGAAAGAGCAGAAACTCCGTTGAGAGAGAAAAATCTCTTCCGTTCATTGTTAACCATGTATATATATATATATGTACACATTTTCGGGGTTTGCGATAAAACTTTCATTTACAATCGCACCATTGTTGGGCACAATGTATATAGTCGAGGATAGAAACTTGTGTGCACCCTTGGTGAGTCTAAAGAGCGGTGATTGAGTTGAAAAATTTACCGAAATCGGTGAAACCTCGTTGTTGAGCTCCTTGAGAAAGTTTGGACAGCGGCGTACAAATGTATATAATGATCTCCTTGATTTTGCACGACTTGAGATGAAAAGGAAACTTGTTGGGTACAACGACAATGTTCTGGCTCGTTCAGAAACGACGTAATACTTTTTTCTGGTCAAAAAAATCGATTCAGGGGTAAACATCTTGTGATGTATACATCAGACTTACGTATATTTTGGTTACCAAATGGTTATTCCCCCGGAAGTGAATGAATGACTATCTTTTATATTTGCCTTGAAAACATTTTTGAAAAATAATGTTTCAATAAAAAATAAACGAAACGAATCACAAGGTTTCCATCCTGCTAATTTCAGTAACAATAATAATTACCCAACAATAACAAAGGATTTTTAGAACAAAAAAAAAAGAATGAAATAACAGCAGCTATAGAAAACAATCATCGTACTGTCGTTCAAATGTAAATTACACATTGAAATCGAGGTGAATGAGTTTCATTTCGTATAGATAATACCTACGTTGTGCGAGCCTCCTACTGTACATACAATATACTGCGTATATACCTATACACAACCTTTCGAAGATGAATCATTTGTGGCGTTACTCTTGTGCTATCTGGACGCGAGTTCCGCTCGGCGATGATTTGCTCGTGCTCTAGTTTTGATAAGATGCACTAGCTACGTTTGCATCGGGACGCACGCCATACGTATATACGTACACAAGCCTGTGCATAGAAAACACAAGCTGCTCCGATAAGATACGAGTGGAGAGACGTGTAATCAAAAATAGTCTCGATTCATGGATCGTAAAGTTTTTTTTTTTTTTTTTTTTTTTTCATCGTCTGGCGGAATTTATATTACCATCCATTGGTAAAGGTATTTTTCATGATTTTTTTTTGTTAATATTTGTCTAATCGCCATGCATTAAAACTTTGATGAATCAATCAGCGCGAGCTTTCAAAGTGTAACATTTTATTTTTAAGAATAACTGTTAGGGTTTCAATTTTAACTTTCACAACATGCTATATATTGTAACTTGGCGACGGGTGTATGCAGTAAGCGATAAAACACGACACGGCCTTCTGCTTGGGTATAGAAGATAATTTCCAATTGAAACTTTCTGTTTGATAATGATTAGCGAGTCTTTCTGTTTCAACATTATATTGCTTCGAACTTTAACAGTACCTAGTAGTTAATCACAAGCTGAACAATAATAATTGCTTTTCTCGCTAAACCAGACTAGGTACCAAAGTTTTGATTTGCAATTAACTTTGGGATTAATTACTAGTTGCAGACAAGACAATTAAACTGGGACGGGAAGCTTGCGATTGACGTTGTTTACTGATCACCGTAGCATTACGTTGATGTAAAAACGTCATTGTGGTTGTGAAAATGCTTGTACATAACGGCGAGAATTTCTTGTGCACATTGAAGTAGCATCGAGTATGAATTAGCCGAGCAAACCTTTCATGCAAATGACGTAAACCGGTTTCCGCGACCTTTTTTCCTCGGGATTATCAATAATAGATGGCCGACGTGTCGTGTATGAAGAGATAATACGTTGGAAATATCTTTTCTTCGTTCGTTTGCACATGAATGCCGTAAACCCTTTTATAAAAAAGCTTTTTATGCGGTTACTAAAATATCCAGGTATGCATTTATTAATACTCGAAACATGATTATTTAAAACTCGAAATGCACGAGCATTATCTGAGTGATATTTTATTTTTAGCTGCTGAGGAGATACAATCGTTAAATGAAATATACATTTTTTAAAATGTATTTCGTGTTATCTCTTCAAGATAAACCTTTTGTAATTATTGAAAACTGTATGGAAAAACAAAGTTTCAAAATAAACATCTAGTATCGGTGTGCAGATATTATTGTTAACGTGACAATGATAATTCTTAAATACATGTAAAGTTAATGGCTTAACTAATCCTCACTTGTGTAATGATAATTAGTCAAATCGTCTGA